CTCACCTGCTGTAACCGACCTGTTCAACCGATCCCTGTCCATAGGCTGCTCGTGCCTTGTGACTGGATAATGGCGCCGTTGTCACAAACCGATTCCAAAAGGCAGGTGACACACGCAAAGTGGAGAATTACCGCCCTATTTGTTTGACCGCAGTATTGTCGAAAGTCTGGAGAAGATTGTGAAGAAGAGACTGCTCCAGGCTACTGGAGACCAACTCTCTCCTGACGCCTGCCACAGCATAGGTTTCGTTGAGAGGCCGCTCGTGCATCACTAACCTGCTGCTAACATGACATGTAATGGTTGCAAGCAGTAAACAACGTATGTCAGTCGACGTGGTATACGTCGATTTCAGTAAGGCCTTCCGACAGAGTGAAACACGAGATCCTCCTTCAGAAACTGAGGGAGTGCGGAGTCGGAGGCTCGCTGCACCAATGGATCCGTGACTTCTTAGTTGGACGGAAGTGGAGGGTGCAAGTCGACAGCCACCTGACCGACTGGTACCCGTCGACGAGCGGCGTTCCTCAGGGGACGGTTCTTGGCCCCATTCTCTTCCTGATTCACATCAACGACGTGCCCAATCTCCTTCGGTCGCCGTGTGCCTTGTTCGCGGATGACTTGAAGCTATGGAGGGTGATCCATACGTCGGACGACTTTTGACATACTTCAGCAGGACCTCGACCGCCTCTCCATGTGGTCCGCCGAAGTAAGTTTGCCTATCAACTCGGCAAAATCGCTACTTCTGTGCCTCGGTAAAGGTGGAGCGGGCCGATCGTACACTCTCGACGGCCAAGTTCTACACCCGACGCATTGCGTCAGAGACCTTGGCGTTATACAACCTTACGACATGAAGTCACTGGACAACACGGACAATATGTATCGCACAGCATTGCGTTCGCTGTGGGCGCTGAAACGTAGCTTCTGCACCTGGTCGAAAGAGATTGCCACTCGTCTCTTCACATCCATTGTACGACCGGTGCTAGAATACGGCTCACCCGCCTACTGTCCGTTGACTAAAGGCGAGATACACAAGCTCGAAAGAGTACAACACATAGCCATACGGCTCATTCCCGGTCTTCAGGGTGTGCCGTATGAAGAAAGATGCAGACAATTGGGTCTGTATACTCTAGCCTACCGCCGCGTGCGAGTGGACCTCATCATGACCCATCGGGTATTGCATCTGGGTGCTTATCCGATGCTGAGGCCACTGCTCCATGTCCGTGCGTCAAGCAGCACACGAGGTCACCAGTACAAACTGGTAGTCCCTGACCTCAAGTGAGTAGCTCATCCCTTGTGTCTTGAGCGGCGAGTGGTGAACATGTGGAACCGTTTGCCCTCGCGGATAGTAGAAGCGAACTCGGTGTCGGAATTCAAACGATTCCTGGACGCGCACTTTGCGGATGCCAGATTCGACGAAGCCTTCACAGGAAACTGACGAAGGAATCGTTCAATGATTATAACCCATGGAGCCCGTTAACCCACCAACTGCAGCTTCCGAAACGATGCCCATCCGTAATAGGCGGCGGAGCTGGTGAAGGACTCCATGTGGTTCATCCAAGAATATATCGTAAGTACATGGAGATTTTTTCTATGCTTGTAAATATTTTACTTTTTTCACCTGGGCTAGCTCACTACTACAGGTAACACTGTGTCAGTGGGACATGTCCTACATTGAGATATAGCTACATAGATGTTCAACATATTTCTCGCTATCATGACAGTAAAGTAAAATACATGGGTCATGGCCAATATGAGCCAATATAAAATTCTGGTAGTATGAAATGGTCTAGAAAGACCATATTGTGACAGCTTTTTAGCCAATGTCCCGATCATATGGCAGCTACCCGACCGTGGATGTTTAACTGATTGTGGTCCCAAAGAAACTGTATTTAAAGTACCCAATTAGTTGAATTACTGCCTGATAACATGGAGATCAACAGGATGTTTGTAATAATAAATAATATGCAATAACTAACTGCCAGTGAGTGAATAATAAAGATTGTGTGACTGCATTCGGATGAACCAGATAAGATTTTCGGTTTCCCGCTAGAAGGGTGCCTGAACAAAGTTGAATTATTGATGGACGGTGTCACGACTTCTAGTCACTGGATAAACGTTGAAGGAAACGGTCATCTGACAAGCAGGCTATAACGCGAGATAAAATGCGTAACCCATGATTTGACCACGAACTGGTCTTAAGCAAAAACGTTTTAACTAACCCAAACTAAAGAACGTCGTGCTGCGCACCTCTAAGGCGAATCAAGTCACAATAGGTATGCATGGAGTCGGACGGAGGTTCAAACTGTAAGGTGGACGGAGCATGGACTCCACAAGCCCTTTTTTGGAGAAACGCAGCCTACAACAGTACAAAGCATAAGGCTCCTAGGGTAAACGCTGTCGATGGTAACTTAATAATGCAATTAGCAACAAAGCCATTGGCAGTAAAATAAGGCTTCAAGATAGCCGTGCAAAATCATCTACATAGCGTACAGACGTTTCAATAGATGTCAGTGGGAAAACTTGGACCATGAATTCACGATGTAGCAGTAATTTTCATCTGTTTCAGATGCGAACAATCAAGTTTGTCTCAATTTTTGAGCCTACAGAAAAGAACAAATATATTGCACCACCACTAGCTCGCGGGCACAATAGCCGGCTGGTAGATATCGGGAACGATACCCATCTGTTACTAGTGACTCAGCTTGCGTGACAATTCTTCAATATTTTCCCCATGTATTGCGACACAACAGCTAAGGTGTTTTCCACCTCTAATTAACGTGTATAAAGATGACGATGGAATGAGCAGCCATAATATGTGAGGTTTACAAGTATAAAAGATCTGTTATGTCATGAAAATGACGAGAACTATTATTGTAAGGCAACTAAAGATAGAGACCAGCCAATTACAGGCAAAAAATAGGTTTGTGATGCATTGAGCTTCAATGAAACTCAATGAAGACTATTGCCTTGTAAATGTGTAAACGGCTGCCTACACGTACTTCACGAATAGCATAATTTGAAAACACTTTAGTGAGACAACCATAAGGAGCTGAATGCCAGGCAGTGATATCGCTATGTTCAATAACTATAGGATTGTGCGCTTGAAAGTAACAAAAATATAACCAAAAAACAAAATACATATAAAATGCTGATATAGGAAATGATACATGTAATGTTTCAAAAGGACATTACCTTAATTACAATCAACAAGTCCATCCACTGCTTCCGAGACAAATCCATGCCAGTGGGATTATGAGCACAAGCGTGTAAAATGATTACAGCCCCATCGGGACCTGCCCTCAAGTCTTCTACCATCCCTTCAAAGTTGACCGATCGTGTTGCGGAATCCCAATACCGGTATTCTCTCACTTCCAGCCCAGTAAATTTGGAGATACCAATGTGATTTGCTAAACAGATATAAGCAATGATGAAGGTAGCTCACGCCAAGTTGGTCGAGAAACGAAAACGACTGCCCGATTACACAACCTGCGCAAAAACTGCAATCCAAGAAATACAGCACCAGTGCCACCAAGGCTTTGGCAATTATCAGCCTGGAAAGTGACACAGAGGGTAAGGAACCAACCTTCTTTTCTGCAATCAATGGACAGCACTCTCCTAGCAGCAATTTGAGGACGTTTGCACACATTGCCTCAAGACCAGTAATCGGTAGGTACTCCTTGTTTAATGAATGATCTGCGGCTAACGATGTTTCCACAGCCCGTACACATGGCAGTACCCAAGGCTCTCCTTCATTCGTGCGGTAGGCTTCACAAATATTGAAAAGGCTTAGCAGAACATACCACCGACCGTGAGATTTATCTTATCAGGACTAACATCTTCTCTACATGCTTCGGAAAGTGAAAAAACTTCGATGGGAGGGGCCTGGTGGATGCCCTCAAAAAACGACGGGACCGACATTGTTAACAGGTAACACTCGTCATAACAAGCGCATAAACAAACCTCTGTTCGGTCGATTGAAATCAACGCAGGGATAAAACAAACAACAAACCTTTTTATAAGTTTCTGCAAAGATACTAGCTTGGAAACCTTTTAGTATATAGTTTCCTTGGCTTTCTATATGCTTTTTCTGTTTTTCTATCGTGCTTTTTGCCACCAATTGAACTTGGAAGCAAATTCAACTGGTAGGAAAAACGGAGATTCCCGTCGTCGTTTCATCATGAATGTGTCCTTAATCAAGGTTCGTATTCGGTGTATGAGTGGTCAATTGTATGAGCCAAATCAGCGCATATCGTGGTCAATCAATATCCATACGCAATGCTCTATCAGACCCCGCTGCGCCAGCTACTTTCAATAACAAAAGAAGTGTAAAATTATAGTATAGGTATAAAGCGCAAGAGTAAAACAAACGCTGAAGTGAGAGTTAGTACGACTAAATAAGCATGAATGGAATTGAAGAGTGATCAAAAGAAAAATTAACATGTGAAAGTGTAGATTGAGACATGCCTGTTAAGGTCGGCAGGGCGACGTTCAAACTCTGTCGCCACGGTGAAAATACGAAGTCCGCGGTTAGCGCTTTCCAGAAAGCTTTCACCCTAAATGACGAAGGAGTCTCAGCCAGAACCAGATAAGATCGGTAATTGGGCCGCTTCAACGGATGCCCACGAAGAGTAGGTAACTGAGCAAGCTGAAAAAGCCAGGATATGTCTGAGCCAACTTGTTCCGTTAGTGTGCGATACGTGAGAACTATGGTGCCACGAGGCCGGTGAAAGAGTGTCGAGGACAACTTTGGTTTGAGCAATCTGACAGTAAAGGCCAGGTGCCGCAGACCTCAAAACATTTTAGGACCACCCCACAAGACCGCTCAACCACCATCCTATTAAGAAGCAGGCGAAGAAGACAAGCTTGGACGCAAGACTCCAGGTGCAGTCTAATAAGGAGCCTAAAAGATTTATAATCACTACAGCTGTCAGCATCCTTAATAATCTGCGGATCCTCCGTAGGGTTCAGAAGCCGTTGCTGGCCGCTCGTTTCCAGTTCGCGCTTGATTTGATGTTGGGGTCTAAGGTGACACCAAACTCAACCTGCTGGGACATATAAGGTAGTTTCTTTCCCACCAAGCAAGTAATGCATCGTCTTGCCATTTGATCAAACGTGCTTAACTGAATCCTTTGTGTGCTTTATTGGACTCTGCCACAGGACTTACCAATCAATGCTTTTGTCAAAGTTTGTCGCAGATATTGGGAGCCACCAGTTCGAAAACCGTACAAAAGAACAACAAGTCAAGTGTGAGCGTGAGAGTAGGCATGTTTAGCACTTCCGACATACGCACTGGCACAACGTACATAGCATACTACAACTGACCTCGGGTTGGTGCCTTTGGTGGCCGCCCAGACCAGTCGGTCGGAATGAAAGCCTATTGCATCCTCGAACACACAATACTCTCCCGTTCAAACAACCTTGATAGACACTGAAGCGCGGGCCTAATCTCATCGCAAAAACGCATCCTTAAGTAACGACACGAAGGTTTAACGAAGTACAACGCTTTTAAGAGGTCAGTGAAAACTGGGTCAAATACGTGACCCTGTTTCACAGGTGTAGCAGTCTGGAGGTTCCCCGGTTTGCCTGTGTAAAGTTCTAACTAAAATTATTTCATTGTACACCTAGGCAACCGGTGTGGTTTGTTGAACTGATTGCTGAATTCGAAAGCTTGACTTACTCATCGCCATTTTTGCTTGGCGCTCCTTTCGGTTGCAACTCGCGACTGCCCTGTGAGCTGTGCTCGCTCCGTTCCCCTAGCTAGAGCGTCCACGGTGTCGTTCATTTATAGCTAGATAACAGGGAATCTTTTACTGTACCAATAAAAGTTTCCCTGCAACTCGATCCGTCTTCTCGAATCGCTCTCTGGGCTCCCGGTACAGGCGACCATCTAAATTGGTGACCCCGAATCCGGAACAATCTCAACGCCGGATATTTCGAAGTTTTCTCCGGTGAGCTCGTGCCATTTATTTTTCATAGTTTCCGGTTTATTTTTGCCTACGGTAGCTTATTTTTTGCGTCCTTTTTCAAACCATGGAATCTTTAGATCATAAGATAGATTATCTGCTTAGCGTTGTATCTCTCACAGTTTCACCTTTTTGGGACATAGATCCTCTTTTGTGGTTCGCTCTTCTTGAGGCTGAGTTTTACAACCACAGAATCACTTCCGACTATGCGAACTACAGCAAGCTCCTGTCCTATCTCCCCAAAGAGATATCAATGCAGCTTCGTGACGTCGTCATTTCTCAGATCGAAAACCGCTAAGAGGCTCTCAAAGAGGCCACGATTAAGCGTGTTATGCCCTCTGAGGAAGTTGGCCTGCAGCAGATTTTCAGGGATCTGCTGCTGGGCGACAAACTGCCCTCAACCCTGCTACGGGAGATGCAGCAACTCCTTGGTTCCTCAACCATGGATGAGACTTTACTTCGCGAACTATGGCTACAACGGCTACCGCAAAACACGCAAGCGATTCTCGCTACAGTGAGCTCCGTTTCGCTCACTCAACTAGCAGATTTAGCAGATCGAGTTATTGAACGATCACAGCCACAAACCGACACCAGCAAGATCAATGCCGTCGCGTCCCAGGGCACTTCTATCACTGGCTTACAGTCAACTATAGAAGCCCTGCAAACACAAGTTGCGACAATTAGTCGCCAGGTTCAACAGCTTCCCACTTGCTTCAAAGCAATCCAAACTCTACCTAAATAATGCCCGTATTCGGCACCTATCCGAATTTTACTAAGTAATTGCTTCAATATAAGAGAAATGGACAAGCGACAGTGGAAAGAATGAGGCGCTCCTTTATGAAGCACTAAAGTGAAACACCCATAAAATCCTTTATTATGCCAGCTAATGTCTTTTAAATATGGTAAATATTTAGCCCCGAAAGTTAAAATTTACTCTGATCATCCTGTTTAGCATAATGCATAAACGCGTCTTTTCCTCTGACATCCATGCAACACTTCAACCTTTCCTCCATTAAAACAAAAGGAATAGACATAACAGGTTACGAAGTTAACACTCACAAATGCTTAAGTTTAACATTATTTCTTAACCGGTACGTCGTCAAATTGGACAAATTACCACAGAAACTGAGAAAGTGCGCCTCAAAGGGCGTTTGTCGCATTCAATTAACCATCGAATTGAACATGAATGCAGTTAAACGCGCCCAACCTAGACGTGAGCATATTCACTTTACATGAGAAGGGTGGAGCGCCATACTGCATTTGACAAAACTCTTTGCTTCCTAGTCAACCCATCTATACTAAAAGTTTAACTTATTAAAGTACCTTTTTCTGCATTTCTAACTGTATGTCCCTGTTATTTGGAGAAATCAGCACACAACCTAGAGAGGGTTACCGAAACCCGATAATATCACCACATGCATAACATCGCTGCCCCAACTGATGGAATCAATAAAACAGCTACTGAAAACACTCATTCTATGGAGGGATTAAACGCAACATTTTAGAGGCTCCAATTGCAAATTTGCTCAGACGAACCACATTGGCTGTGTCGCACACGAACGAAATATAAACTAGCACTTTAGTTTTGTCTACTCATCAGTTGCATTGTTACACTCGTAAGGTTATATAAAAGATCTCTTTCCTCTCGGAGGAGACAGCCGGGAAACAGAACAAATCTCATTGCTGAGAAATAAAACTTTCATGTATATTTCGATCACATGCAGATGGCAGAAAAACCTAAAACACTTTTCAAAACTATGATGCATACCGTTAAATAGAACAGCCGTCTGTTTTCGGTATACCTACTGGACAATTTGTTCGGTCGGTCTTTCGTGTGCAGAAACGAAACATGCCCTCGCCTTACGAGGTATGAGTGCGGTCACCAACCAGCTGCCTACATATATCTAATCTGTTTCTTTAATTAACCTTGGGCCAGGCCATCAGTGAGCTCCTGAGATGACGGCTTCTAGCTTCCGGCGCCTTACCAGCACCCATGCAAGGCACGTCCTGATGAGCTGCACGGAGCAAAAATACGCTTTATGCAGAAACCGGTTGTTGTTACATGCTAGATGGCTTGCGTGTCCACACAAGATAGACGCAAAAGTTTCATAAAATTCAAGTAAATATTTTATACTTTATCCGCTTTAGTAGCCACAAGATCACATGGCCAGCTAGAGTATGTAAGTGAGAGTGAACCCCATAGAGGACATAACCAGCTTGGAACCAGGTACCCAGCAACGATTCCACGATTACTAGTGTTACTACACTTTAACATTTTTATTTAGCCACATTTATTGTTATTGCTTATCTCTATCCTCATACAAGGTTTAAATAAAGAAATAAATGTTTCTCTTCTAGAGGAACCGAGACACTCTAATACAGGCATGTTCAAATGGTTGTCAGAGCCACAGAAAAACAATACTTGTTTTAAACTGAACGGCCGGGCTAAGTTGGTAACATACATAGTTCGAACTACGGCACCTAATTGTAAATAACTAAACAAATAAATAATTAATTGGTACATTCTCTGTAAAACGAGACATACCTGTAAAGGCGGGATCGAATATGCATACAAGCATAGTTTCTTTAGAATGTTAACACTTTTCGTTTTAATGAAAGGTATAAACGAAAAGATGTAGTCCATATGGGTGAGCATATTGTCAAGCTATAGTCAGACCAAGGAACATGATTGCGCTGTGGCGCGCAAAAATCAGACAAGCTACAAGTTGGGGGTAATTTCGCCATGTAGTTATCCTTGAGAACAGGAGCCCAGCCAAGGTTTTGGTGCAACCAATAACCATCACGAAGTCGGGATGGTCTGTGCTCCATCAAAGCATTATTCATAGTAAAAACTGTTGCACAAGTTGGTTGTAGAAGGCGGAGGACTGCGTCAGTGTGAAATGCTTAGCTGTGACTTTATATTGTGGCGAGTCAAGTCCGCCACGTTGCGGTGTTGTTAAGCGGGCATTTGGGGCTTTTTATAGGGAGAACGCTTGCCGGGCGAAAACCCACCACGTTCTGGAACACTGCCGTAGCTTCCGTTGAACAGTAGTGCTAGTCGGCTTTGCATCGTATAGACTGATTGTGCACTTTATTATTCGCAGTCGGTTGACAGCCAAAATTCTTCCTCGGTTGGTCGAGTGGCTTAGTAATGATCCGACAGTAGTCGTTGAAGCCGATCAGTGATGCAAAAGAGTCGCAAAATCGAATGATAAACGATGCAGGTGAGTAAACACATTGTTAATGGAGGCCGGCTTTTTCTATTATGTTCTTGTCCGGCTTGCAAACCGTGTCCAGCTATACACGCTGGACTTGTCATGGGGACGTGAGTGCAGTTGTTTCTTGTGGCTGAATATGTCCATAACAGACGAAAATGCCATTCTCTGCAAAGTGGGTTCGGAATTCCTTCAAATGCAAGTGAGTGTACTTGCCTCCATGGCCAAGTGAAAACTTCATGAAAGGCCATCAGAAGAGCCACTTATA